AACAACAGCAACGACGAAAACAACAACAACAACATTCCCCAATGCTTTTAGTGCATTTACAGTTGTATTCATTTAACGGTGCAATGAAAATGAATATTTATCTAGTATTTCTTGGTAAAAGAAACAAAGGAGAAAACAACAGCAACGACGAAAACAACAACAACAACATTCCCCAATGCTTTTAGTGCATTTACAGTTGTATTCATTTAACGGTGCAATGAAAATGAATATTTATCTAGTATTTCTTGGTAAAAGAAACAAAGGAGAAAACAACAGCAACGACGAAAACAACAACAACAACATTCCCCAATGCTTTTAGTGCATTTACAGTTGTATTCATTTAACGGTGCAATGAAAATGAATATTTATCTAGTATTTCTTGGTAAAAGAAACAAAGGAGAAAACAACAGCAACGACGAAAACAACAACAACAACATTCCCCAATGCTTTTAGTGCATTTACAGTTGTATTCATTTAACGGTGCAATGAAAATGAATATTTATCTAGTATTTCTTGGTAAAAGAAACAAAGGAGAAAACAACAGCAACGACGAAAACAACAACAACAACATTCCCCAATGCTTTTAGTGCATTTACAGTTGTATTCATTTAACGGTGCAATGAAAATGAATATTTATCTAGTATTTCTTGGTAAAAGAAACAAAGGAGAAAACAACAGCAACGACGAAAACAACAACAACAACATTCCCCAATGCTTTTAGTGCATTTACAGTTGTATTCATTTAACGGTGCAATGAAAATGAATATTTATCTAGTATTTCTTGGTAAAAGAAACAAAGGAGAAAACAACAGCAACGACGAAAACAACAACAACAACATTCCCCAATGCTTTTAGTGCATTTACAGTTGTATTCATTTAACGGTGCAATGAAAATGAATATTTATCTAGTATTTCTTGGTAAAAGAAACAAAGGAGAAAACAACAGCAACGACGAAAACAACAACAACAACATTCCCCAATGCTTTTAGTGCATTTACAGTTGTATTCATTTAACGGTGCAATGAAAATGAATATTTATCTAGTATTTCTTGGTAAAAGAAACAAAGGAGAAAACAACAGCAACGACGAAAACAACAACAACAACATTCCCCAATGCTTTTAGTGCATTTACAGTTGTATTCATTTAACGGTGCAATGAAAATGAATATTTATCTAGTATTTCTTGGTAAAAGAAACAAAGGAGAAAACAACAGCAACGACGAAAACAACAACAACAACATTCCCCAATGCTTTTAGTGCATTTACAGTTGTATTCATTTAACGGTGCAATGAAAATGAATATTTATCTAGTATTTCTTGGTAAAAGAAACAAAGGAGAAAACAACAGCAACGACGAAAACAACAACAACAACATTCCCCAATGCTTTTAGTGCATTTACAGTTGTATTCATTTAACGGTGCAATGAAAATGAATATTTATCTAGTATTTCTTGGTAAAAGAAACAAAGGAGAAAACAACAGCAACGACGAAAACAACAACAACAACATTCCCCAATGCTTTTAGTGCATTTACAGTTGTATTCATTTAACGGTGCAATGAAAATGAATATTTATCTAGTATTTCTTGGTAAAAGAAACAAAGGAGAAAACAACAGCAACGACGAAAACAACAACAACAACATTCCCCAATGCTTTTAGTGCATTTACAGTTGTATTCATTTAACGGTGCAATGAAAATGAATATTTATCTAGTATTTCTTGGTAAAAGAAACAAAGGAGAAAACAACAGCAACGACGAAAACAACAACAACAACATTCCCCAATGCTTTTAGTGCATTTACAGTTGTATTCATTTAACGGTGCAATGAAAATGAATATTTATCTAGTATTTCTTGGTAAAAGAAACAAAGGAGAAAACAACAGCAACGACGAAAACAACAACAACAACATTCCCCAATGCTTTTAGTGCATTTACAGTTGTATTCATTTAACGGTGCAATGAAAATGAATATTTATCTAGTATTTCTTGGTAAAAGAAACAAAGGAGAAAACAACAGCAACGACGAAAACAACAACAACAACATTCCCCAATGCTTTTAGTGCATTTACAGTTGTATTCATTTAACGGTGCAATGAAAATGAATATTTATCTAGTATTTCTTGGTAAAAGAAACAAAGGAGAAAACAACAGCAACGACGAAAACAACAACAACAACATTCCCCAATGCTTTTAGTGCATTTACAGTTGTATTCATTTAACGGTGCAATGAAAATGAATATTTATCTAGTATTTCTTGGTAAAAGAAACAAAGGAGAAAACAACAGCAACGACGAAAACAACAACAACAACATTCCCCAATGCTTTTAGTGCATTTACAGTTGTATTCATTTAACGGTGCAATGAAAATGAATATTTATCTAGTATTTCTTGGTAAAAGAAACAAAGGAGAAAACAACAGCAACGACGAAAACAACAACAACAACATTCCCCAATGCTTTTAGTGCATTTACAGTTGTATTCATTTAACGGTGCAATGAAAATGAATATTTATCTAGTATTTCTTGGTAAAAGAAACAAAGGAGAAAACAACAGCAACGACGAAAACAACAACAAACAAACACAAAACAAAAGAAAACAATACATTCTGTGATACTTCACGGTAATTGCAGGTTATTTTTTGTTGATTGTTGTATATTGGATGTGACTACCCTCAGCAAATCAGTGTACTTACGTTTAGTTCTTCGATTGTCTTCCTCATGAGCTCTTCCTGTGTATTACGCTCATTCAGCTCGCTGCAAATGATTAAATTACAAGATATCATTAAACCATATATATATCAACTAATCTTTGCTGAAAGTAAGATATTCCTGATTCACCATTTCCTTTCTCTTTCAAAAACTCATATATAATTAATGAGCTACTAGGCAAATAGAATGAGACTATTTGGTCAAATGTATGGACCTTTATATCTGATAAAACACTCCTTAGTAGYATTCTTTATATAAAGAATACTAATAAGGGTGACCTTTATCAGATATAAAGGTCCATGACCCTAGCAAAGGTCTCAGGTTTGAAACCTGATCATTGACCAATGCAGGATGTCAACGATTGCAGTGAACAGCCAAGAGCGGTTCCATTTTACTTTATGCGTATTCAATGTGGGATGACAACAGTGCTTTGTAAAGTGCGCTATCTATCTCAAAACATATTTGTACGTCAATTTCTCCAAGAAATTTAACGGATTTGAGTTCCAAATTAGTGTTGGAGTTTTTGAAGCCGTTTAAAACACTCGAGATCGTGTTTTAAACTATACAACAAGTATCAACGTATATAACTGTACCTTTGAAGCGCAGTCACTTTGGCCTGTTGATGTAACATCAATAATCATTAGTATTTGATTAAAGTTATTTGTGGTACTTATTTGGACAAGAATTACGTCATGATCTACTTACATTTAGTTTGTCCATTTCTTCATGGAAAGTATTCTCTTTGAGAATCTCATGGTCGCTATCATATAAGGAGAGGGAGCAGATGGATTAGCTAGGAGTTTACAACCTTTGTATGTCTCTTATTAAGGTACTACTGAACATTTATTTCTATTATAAAAGGATATCATCATTGTTTTTGTTTTTTCGTAATACACCATAAACAATTATGTTTGTCATTATTTCCAT